TGATAATCTTTACACCCTACCCTCCCCCTATCGTCACACGTCGTCACATACGAGTCAGGCCCTAAAATGTTCTACCCTTACATCCACTGAAAAGACCATACTTCTCCCCTACCCCTCAACTGAACATAGTTCTACGCCCCCCCCCCCCCCAAATGAACACAGTTCTACCCTCACCCCCCCCTCAACTAAACATAGTTCTACCCTCCCCTACTCCCCACTCAACTGAACAAACCCCCCCCCCCCCCCTTCAACTGAACACAATTCTAACAAAGCTTGACACTTTGCTCTGGATAATTATGTTTAAACAGTTTATATGGGACGTCACACATCGTCACATAAGTCTAACCCTAACCCACATATTCACGGGCGACCCCACCGCATGAAATATTTGATCAACGAAAAGTTTCCACTTTGAATAAAATCTCGCGATTGGTTTTGTTCTGCGTAGAAAAAACTATTTAGGTGATCGCTAATCTCTCGTGTGATGTTGACTGTAGATAAGGTTAGCTGGCCAAAACAGGAAGTTGGCTCTGAGAAAAATGGCGGCCGTCTTAATGGAAACAACGGAAAACAAGGTGTCACAATACCTCGTTGTTCGTTGACAAATTGTTAGCCGTTAAATTGTGTTTTGTTGTTCAGTGAAAAATTGTTAGCCGTGAAATTGTGTTTGCGGAAATAAAAAAAAAATACTTGGACAATAAAATATCACAGTCCTTACTCTCATCTGCCCTAAAATTTCAGTTAGCCAAGAGTAACCGAACCTGCCAGTTTTAGTTTTTACTTTCTCGTGTAAAATTTTAGGGGTCATCCATAAACGTTGTTACGCATTTTAATCGGCATTTACCTACCTTCTTCCCATTGTCACAAAAAAAAAGCCAGACCCCCCCCCCAAAAAAAAAAGCAGTGACGTCACACCTCAGTCTACAACCTCCTTCACATTTGCAGTTTTTTTTTTAAATATATCAATTGCATTCTAAAACAATTCCTGAACTATGTCAACATTGAGTAACCTATATTAGATATTATTTTTATTTTAAACAGAAAGCTAAAATTCAGTTTATATCATGACTTTTTAATATATACAAGAATGTCGTTACACATTCTGACCCCCCCCCATTCCCCTTATTACACATCGTCACAAAAATCAGAACACCCCCGCTCCCCTAGGTGTGTGTGTGTGACGTAGTTTATATCCCACAGCCGATATTAAAAGATTTTACAAATAAACTGCAATAAAAAATGGATCAATATACTCAATGTTGACCGAGCTCAGTAAATATTTAAAGAAAAATTCACCATTGACAATTTTTTTTTTGAATGGAAGGGCAGTAGGCTTATGCGTGACGTCAGAAACATTTTTGTAAGCTAATGGTTTATGACAAAACGCCATTTTTAAAATGATATCTTACCTTATAGTACTATTACGTTTTTTTTATATAACATGCAAGTGTTAGCGTCCAATAGCATAATGAAGTAACATAATGCTGATTACATTTCTTAGGTCATCGAGTCGTTCACGCAAAGCTATGTTATAAAAAAATCGTCCAATAAACAAATATTTACCTACATGAAGTTTTACATCCACTCCATTGCCAGACCGAGTGGACTAAAATAACACAAGGCCCACAACCATGGATGAAACGACGGGAGGGTTAGCTCCCATCTCCATCGCCGCGTACCTAATCGCTCACTCAAGATTAGTAAATTGAACAAATCGAAGCTTTTATCAGCGTTATGGAACGGCCTGCCAATCAATCGATCCACATCGATATGAGTGCTAACAGGTTTTGAGTGATTTGGTTTCCCAAATGGATGATTGATGGTGGTATAACAAGCACTCACTGATGGTGGTTTAACAAAGGATGGTATAACAAGCCCTCACTGATGGTGGTAAAACAAGTGGTGGTATAACAAGCACTCACTGATGGTGGTTTAACAAAGGATGGTATAACAAGCCCTCACTGATGGTGGTAAAACAAGTGGTGGTATAACAAGCACTCACTGATGGTGGTATAACAAACACTCATTGATGGTGGTATAACAAGTGGTGCTATAACAAGACTCACTGATGGTGGTATAACAAATGGTGGTATAACAAGCCCTCACTGATGGTGGTTTAGCAAATGGTGGTATAACAAGCACTCACTGATGGTGGTTTAGCAAATGGTGGTATAAGCACTCATTGATTGATTGTGGTAAAACAAGCATTCACTGATGATGGTGGTATAACAAGTGTTGGTATAACAAGTGGTGGTATAACAAGCACTCACTGATGGTGGTATAACAAACACTCACTGATGGTGGTATAACAAGCATTCACTGATGATGGTGGTATAACAAGTGGGGGTATAACAAGTGGGGGTATAACAAGTGGTGGTATAACAAATGGTGGTATAACAAGTGGTGGTATAACAAGTGGTGGTATAACAAGTGGTGGTATAACAAGTGGTGATATAACAAGTGGTGGTATAACAAGCGGGGGTATAACAAGTGGTGGTATAACAAGTGGTGGTATAACATGTGGTGGTATAACAAGTGGTGGTATAACAAGTGGTGGTATAACAAGTGGTGGTATAACAAGTGGTGGTATAACATGTGGTGTTATAACAAGTGGTGGTATAACAAGTGGTGGTATAACAAGTGGTGGTATAAGAAGCTCCTCGTCGTGTTTTGATCCTGTTTAAAGGTTGAAAGCTTGCCGCTTGCACCACGTCAGATGTTTGTCGGATTCAAGTCTGTCCAACAAAACACAACATATGACATGTTGGGGGGGGGGGGGGGGGGGGAGGAGTTGTTTAGGGTAGGTGGGGATAGAAAACTAACTCTCAACAAGGATTCATGACGTCATTCTTAGAGATGGTCGTTGGGTAAAATAAAATCAATAGCCAATCGGATTAAAGTATTGTGCTATGACGTCATATGAAATTTAAACAAGCCCTGAGAAAAGCACGTGTCATACAAAGCCGGGGTTAAACTGATTCTAGAGGGTTAAAGACAGAGACAACCAAGGCTTCGTAACTTCACGATTCAGATATCAGGGCTAGAAAATAGAGTGTGACAGAAATGTTGTGAAACAAGGCGACTCCTCTTCACTGTTACATGGCTAGACATCTCAGGGTGGCAGAAACTGTGTCTCTCCCCCCCCCCCCCACTAGCTACTATCTTGTACACCACTACCTCCAGTTTGTACGTTCAGCGTGACGTCACCCAAATTAAAATAGTGTTTCCTACGTAACACACACAGATGCCAGCTGTCGGCGGTAATTCACACAGTAGCGTCACATTGCGGGGGGGGGGGGTATGGTCCGCACGGGGTGACATCATTTAGGGTGTGACACCAAATGGAAAGATCGTGTTGTCCCAACATTGTATAATCCAGTGAAAATAATAAACTAGCAGGAGAGACGAGTGAAACAAAACTGGAGTTAAAAAATGTTGGAGAGGGGTGGGGGGGGGGGGGGGGGGACTCCCTCGGTTACCGAACTTGTGACGCCACTGAATCTATCCACCTATTTGTTCGTGGGTAATCCACCCACCTGTGTCAGAGATTTCATAGGGAAATTTTTAATTTTTTAATTTTAAATTTTGTTTTTAAACAAACGATTACATTTTTAAAATACACCGCACCCCCCCCCCCCACTCCTCCGTTTATCTCGTTAAAACATAGTCTGAATATCACCTAAACTACATCGAGGTTTTGTCTTATTAATAACAAACACAAACATTAAAAGAGAAATAACTGCGGTATTTACTTTGATAGACAATTGATACTAGGTTGCCTCCCATTACAAAACTAAGACAGCTGTTTAAAGAAAAAAATTACTCTGGGTTAATGTTTGTCAAACTCGATTATATATCGTGAGAAAATAATATTAGAATACATAGCAAAAACAATTATATTTTATAATTAACTCTTATGATAATTTTTACATACATTTTTCCTAACATTTGCTATTTGGATAAGTTTCACCCCAGTTGAGCAGAAATATTTTCCCATTTTACAAAGCAACCAACCATAAATAACCATTTTCCACTAATTATTTTTGTAAAATGTTAATTAAATATATAGACCTTATTATCTTTTTTAAAAAACAAAGCTATTTTTTATGATCCACTTTTCTTTCTCAACAATAGTTGCCAAAAAAAATCAAGCTGTTGTTTATTTCATAAAACGGCCAGCATGACCTTAGTTTAAGCAGTTGGTTCTCACAACTAGGATGTGTGATGTTGTCTTCTCTTTATATTGTAATATAGAAATAGGCATTTGTATTAGTAAAATCTGGCACTTCCTAAAATGTTAAAAATTGGAAACACAGTCCAGCTCTATATATTCATTTAATAAAGAAACCCCAATTATTTATTTGAATGGTAGATTATACTTCTAGTATTACCAGCCATATGCCATATTTTATTTTGGTCTTGACCATTCAATTTTCTAGGATGGATAGCCCTGTAGTATATTTAAATGCAGATAAAATGATAACAAAAGAAGCAATCAATGTTAACAGAAATTGGTTTACTAAATTAATTTTTAATGAGTATATGCAAATTGACTAACAGAATCAAGTGCAGTTTTAAGTTTGTTACTATAAATATTATCATTTATATTTTATTATGAATATATAAGTAACTTTTTATGCTAAATTTTGCAAATCAATAAGTAAGCAAAAAGTAGCCAAGTTGTGTAGCATACTGAAACATGTTTAAATAATTTAAAGTTTTAAAAATCTGCAGATACATTGCATTATTGGTAAGGTTACAGATTTTTATTAAGTTATATTTAAAAGAAATTGTAATATATAATATTTCTAAATGAATATTTTAAAACAATTTGGATTTGTAAAATTAAATGAGTATACATTGTGGCGTAGGTGACTAGCTAAAAACTAACCACATTAAGTTCTTGAAAATTAAAGTGTTAATGAAAGTGTATTCCTTACCAAAAGAATGACTGCTCTCAAGCATAAGTAGTTTAGATTTTAAAAACATTATACACTTAAGACCAACTTCACAACATTTCTTTATTTTGCTGACAATTATAAATGTTTACCATTAGTGTAAAATTTGTGTTATCTGAGAAGTGACATGGAGCTGAGGTGGCAAAGTTGGATTGTTCAGTTTTTTTTTAAAAATACTTTGCTACAAAAAAATTATTAGAAATTGCAATCTTTATCCAAATTGCACATTAGATCTTTTTTGATCGATCAACTTTCAGTTGAAAACAAACAGACACCTTGCTGACAATGATGATGGTGGCATCAGAAACCTTCTGCTGAATGCTGGGGTTAATATCTGGTGAAGTCTCACTCCTGGCTGTATTGGAACTCTGAGTACCCTGGCTTTCAGTAGTGCCTAGCTCTTGTACCTACCCAAAAGAAAAAAGTAATACCATGGCTATAATGTAATCAAAGTAAAAGATGCTGACTTTTTAAATTAAGAAGTTCACTTATTTAAAAAATGTCCCAAATTAAGAAACAAATAAGTTTACTGTGAAATTACATAAAGAAAAGCAATATAAACAAGGAACATTTAAGCTAAATTTAAGTTCAGGATTTAATCAACAATTTGAAAATTAATTAGTAATTACCTCAAGAGCTGATCCAACTGTGACATGTAAAACTTTAGCCATTTCAAGAGCCTTCTGCCTTGCATTATGTATGGCTAGCATTCCAACTTGTTTTCTGTTGGAAATAAATGCTACTATAATATATCTGCATTAGTATTTTTGTATTAATTTAAAAAAAAAACTAAATACTCATTTATTTATTTTCAGTTTTACAATTTTTAACATGTTTTTCTTCTGCTTAAATATGGACTATTTTACAAGAAAGGAAATATTTTTACAATTAATTAGAAAATTAAAGGATTTGACTACCTTAGTTTATCCAAACTTCCATGAGCATGGTAGCAATGGGGTAGGGTGACTGAAACAGCTGGACCAAGCTTTTCAGAAAGGTAGTTGGATACAACCTGGCATTTATTGATGTCAGTGAAGTGAACTTCAATTTCACAATCCACATTAACCATTGAGTCTACATGGCTCGTGTGCTGGAATATTCTAAAATCATCTTGCTGTAAAAAAAAAACCAATCACACATTTAAGCCTCTAATATGGTATGACAGTTCAATCCTTGGCAGTGAAACAAGTTCTTTAAGATTGTAAAACCAGTTAAAATTCAGGATAATACTTCAGTAGCTAATCATTAACATAATTGTGCTTATTATTTAATTTCATTTAGAACTTTTGTCATTTATAAGGAGCTAACAGGAATAAATTTTTAACAACAAATAGTTCTCAAGCTGAATCAGAATATTTACCAGAGAATACATACATCAAATAATAAGAGGTCTTTATTAAATTAATAACACCAATCTTATTTGAATTATAAATAATATAAGTAATGTAGTGAGAAATGTAGTCTTAAAGTAAAAATGACTTCCAAGTTCTCTGCATTTGAAAAAAATTTAGGGGCTTAAATTCTAAATGTATTCAATCTCAAAGAAAAAAAATTAGCTTCGATTTTTTAAATGTGTATGGCTAATCAAAAGATTAAACTGACAAGTTTTCAACCCATACAAGGGGTCTTTGTGGTCGAGTCGGTAGAGCTCATGGTTGCTAAACCCCGGCCTGCAAAAATTCTATACCATTCTCACAATTATTAAGACTGCGACGTATTTGTCAAGATGATGACGACTTTTGGATCAAGGCCCATGAGCTACTACAGTTCTTCCGACTTCGGTCATACCCGGAGCATATACTCCAGTCAGCACTACACCGCATAACAGCTGTTGACCACCAAGCCTCCCTTCAACAATTTCCAAAACAAAAGTCAGATAGAACTAAACTCATCTTACCCTACCATCCTCATTCAGTTTTGGCTAAAAATATCATTATAAAAAATTATTCTATCCTCAAGTCAGACCCCCATTTAGGCCATTTATTTCAACAGAATCCTTTGGTTGTGTATAGAAGGGAACGCAACCTTAGAGACCTTTTAGTTCGCAGCCGCCTGCCACCCACTACCAACACCGGTTTTGGCACCACTCCTTGTCCCCGTAAATGCAATACCTGTCATTTCACCCTTCAGGTTGAATCACTGCAGCTGCCGAAGGGAACCCTCAAAATTAAAAATCACTTCAACTGTGAGTCCCGCAACGTAGTTTACGTCATCCAGTGCAGGCGTTGCAACATCTTTTATATCGGACAAACGGGGAAAAGATTGTCTGACAGGGTTAGCCAACACCTGTGATCAATCAACAATGAAGACGGTCTTCCTGTGGCCAAACACTTCAACGAGAGTGGGCATGACTTAAAAAAGGACTTTTGTGTAACCGCCGTTCGGTTTTGCCACAATTTTAAAAATCGCCTTAGCACTGAAACGCGACTAATACTTAAATTTGGTACACGGGCACCCGATGGCTTGAATGAACAGATATCTTTCACCTAACAACCCCCCCCCCCCCCTCCCGCATACACCACGCCCCCAACCCCACCCCTATACGGTGTCCAAGCGTCCTTCTCACGCGTCTTTTCTTTTGGATATCGTGGCTAGCAGACAAGACGTGTTTTCACTGTCGAGCTAAGTCAAAAAATGTGTTACTGTTTGTCTTTATTTGTCTAATCTGTAATCACACTGTTGTGTGCTGACGAAGACCTTGGGTCGAAACGTCCATAGTACTTGTAACTGTCTTTAACTTGTGAGGTAACTAATACTATCTGTTTTATTACTAATTACTGGTTGCTAAACTGAAAAGTCTCGAGTTCGAACCCCTGGGCAGATGATGCTCGTTAGCTGGGGACAGCCACTCTTCTAGGAGGGATAACTCCAAAATCAAAATCTGCTGCCTTGTAGTTTGTTCTTGGTTGGACAAAGGCTATGGAAGCAAATCCAAAAAGAAAAGCAGGCTAAAATCGGAGTCAATGGCCTCAATGGCGCATAACCAGTTGACATGTATCCTTAATTGTGATGGAGGCATGGTCAAGTCGAAAAAAGCTCATGGTTGATACATTTGTAAAAAGTCTTGAGTTCAAACCCTCAGGGAGATAAGACTCGATCCCTTCCAACAAAGAAGAAGAACCCATACAAAAAATTATGATGGAGTTCCTCTCAACCAACTTGGCCAATTCTTATTGCAAGCCTCAAATAGACAAATAATTTAAAAGTAGGAGTCTGTGTGTTTGACAAAAAGTACTAATAGTAGGGCTAAATGTAAATACTAAATTAGTAAATAGTAAATAGTATTTACTAAATACCTACCTTTACAGAGTTATTTTGCAAAGTTTGAATGATATAATCAACTCGTCTGTTTATGCTATCTTTGGCTTCCTGTGCAGTAGCTTTTGTTGACTTGCATCTTATGTTGATAGAAAACCGATCGGGCGGTAAAATAAGCTCACCAATACCAGTTACATGTATTTGTCTATCAAGATAACCGGCATGATTAAGTATGGCATTTTCTGAATTTTCATTTGAAATGGACTTAGAAAGTCTAATATTTTCTGGGTTGCTTGTCTTGCTTTGCAATTCAGTAAAGACCCGTATCGGTCTGCTGTAAGCCATTTGGTAAATATAATGGACTAATACATCACTAAAAGATTAAAACTTGCTAGCAAGATAAAAATTATTTGCAAAATTTTAAAAGTTTGGACGCCATTTGTAAACAAAACTTGTCGCTTGCTCAATCATGTCAATAAGCCGCTTAGAGCCCAACACAATTTGTTAACACGAATGTCTGAAACCTAAAGTGGTTTTGTTTAATAAACAGCACAAATAGGAATGATTTTTATATTTTCAAGATTAGATTGGAATAATTAAATCATATTTAAAAAAAAAAATTATTAGTTATAAATTTTCCTACTTCCGGATAAAGTCTGGATCTGGATCCTAGCTAAAAATAAGAGTAAAAAAAATCGGAAGTTCTGTCAATTTTCGATGGTTGCCAAAAAAATCTCTGTGTCATTAACCAGTTGGGGAACCACTGTAAACAACAAAGTGAAGCATTAATCAACATTTTCGACCAGGTTACTATCAAATAAGTTAAACATGGCATCAAGAGCTGGATATAGACCAGAGGGATCTGATGGAAGTGATCATTGGCACAGAGAGAGTATTGCTTGGCAGTATAAAATTAGGTTGTCATCATTAAATATTTTTTATTAATTTTTAAAAATTATGATTTGATTTTTATCAAATATCATCGACTATAAAAAATAATCATGTTGTATTTTGTTTTAACCCATTGATTTTTGTATTTTAAACGATCCTGGTTTAGCCTCAGTCTTTACAGAAAGGAAAGACCACTACTACTAGAGCTAGATTAAAGAATAGGCTAAAGAAAAGATTTAACTAGAATTCTAGATTCTAGAACTCAACGGGCGCGTGCGAGAAAGTAATCGAGAGGCCCATTAATCAATTTAAAAATCATGCACGGCGTAGTTACATATAATAATATGGTTATAAAATCATGTCTGTCTGTTGTTTTTTTTCGGACTTTACTAAAGATTGGAGGATGTATTGTTATATTTTAAATATTTTCGGTAGGCCTAACTAAATAAATAATAAAAAAAAAAGCAATAACAATTTGGGGATGATTTATAGATACCAGTGTCAGATAATGGAAGCTTCTTTAAAAAAGGGGTGTTGGGTTGTTAGTAGTATGGTAATCTCAGCTGATTTTATGGTTAGAAATAAATTAGGGTTAGGTGTATGGTAGGACCAGGGTTGGGGTTAGGGACAGGGTTAGCATTGACATTAGCCAGCCAGAGTCTATTTAGTTAACTACCAGTAACCTAACACCCCTTTTTTAAAGAAGATTCCACCGGTGTAAACATTCTCCCCAATTTGGTTTTCACATGTAATGGCAACATAAACAATGGCATCCTGCTATTCGATAGGCTGCCATTAATTTTTTTGTACACATTGTAAGCTAAAAAAAAGAAAAACTAGGTCATGGGGTTTAAATTTGAATGGTTATTTAAAAACTTTATCTGCAAAGTTTTGTAAACAAATAATTATCCATCACGGAGTTCCTGTACAGCCAATCAATATGTGTCTTACGAAAGTGAAACATCCGGTTATAACTTAGGCTTGATGAAAATAAATAGAAATGTAGCCTTAAACTCAACAAAATAACTTAGGCTTGATGAAAATAAATAGAAGTGTAGCCTTAAACTCAACAAATTATTTTCAAGTTCTCTGGATTTGCAACTTTTATAGCATTTATTCTAAAAATATAAAATTTCTAAATTAATTTTAGGCTTAAATTTTTATTTTTTTAATTATTTTTATGGTCTAAATCTAAAAAAGCAAATTTTTATTCCATGTCAACAACATGCTGGAAGGATTCTTGTCAACTCGCTCGCGTCCATTCACAGCCTAATCAGTCCCTAATCTAATCCGGATCCATCCTAGCCTAAAGCAAACGTGTCAGATACAATCACTGTAACTGAGTTAGAGTTAGTTAATGAGTGAAAGTTAAATTCAAGCTAAACTGCTTCAAGTAATCTTGGGATGATTTTAGATACCGATGTCCGATAACAGACCTAGTACTCTCCCAAAAAATAGGTGTGTCGGGTTGTTAGTAGTATGTAGTATTATAATCTCGACTAATTTTATGGTTAGAAATTAGGGTTAGGCATATTGTAGGACCAGGATTGGGGTTAGGGTTAGCATTGACATTACCAAGTCATGTGTGTACTACTGTTAACTACCAGTAACCTTACACCTTTTTTAATGAAGATTCTATTACTTTTACAGTTATCTAGACTGTTTATGCTCACAGTATCAGTTAGGGCTTATTTAGGTGTTGTTATTGTTATGCATTGTCAAATGTATAGTTAGCTTTGTAGTTTTTAAGTACATTCATTGATCAATGTAATTAGTATCCCTTTTAATTAAAAGTTAATTAGAGGCTACATTATTTGCTCATGCTACTAACCCTGGCTGTAATGTGAGAGTTTTAGTGACAGTGAAGAAACTTTCTGCAGTACTTAATTGACCTGTATTTTTAAATTTTATTTTTCAGTTCCATCAACAAAGGTCGACTGAGGCTAGCACTTTTTCTCCACATAATGATTGGCCTTTTAATGTTTGTACGCCTTCTGCCTGGAATTACTGGGGCTTTTGGCTTTACAGTAGTCAGCCTTCGACGCCTTGACCTGCCACACCCACGACCCTGGGAATATGCATGGCTAGTTAGTCTCATAGCTGCTGTAATAGGCTGGCGTTCAACTCCACAGAACAACTCATTTTTGTTGAAGCAATTTCTCTTGGGCTTAGTAGTTTTTGGCATCGTTCCAATTTTTTTTGCATTTTTCGATTTGAAGAAGGATATAGTACTGTATTTACAAGAGAGGAAATACACATATGAGATGTTTGGATTTCCTGCTGTATTGCTGTGGTTTGCATTTTTGCTCATAGCCCTTCAGGTTCACCTGTTCTCTGTATACTTTAGCTACATCCTTCTTGGCTCTTGGAAGCCTCGTGTAACTGATAAGTTGAAAGCCAGATAATGCATTTATACAATAAATTAGTATGCCTAATTAAATTATCAATGAGCATGGTTGCTTAATTAATTATCCTGTGATGTAAGTCATATCCAGCTGATTTGATTGATTCTCTATTTGCCTTGTGAAATGACTACTTGCCCATCTTCAAATACGCTCAACAAAATTTCCTCTAAAGATTGTACTTGAAGTTTCTTCAAACTGATTTTCTACCACCTTGTATTCAGTAGTGGATAATTTTATAAGTTTATTCCTGCAAACCCAAAATTTTTGTTCAGTTATGTAGACATTTTATTTTTAAATTTTTATTGTTTTCATCCAATGCACTATTCTTTCTCAATAAAACAGCTGATCTCAGATTTGATGTATTCGTCAGATATTTAAATGCAAAATGTGCATAAACAAGTATAGTACCATTTAACAGGAAGAAAAAACACGAGATTTTTTTTTATAACAGCTAAAATTGCTCATTGGACATTTTTGCAATATTACAGTTAACTTACGCAATTTGTAAAAAATTGAAATAATCAATTTAAGTCTAGTTTAAGTCAAAATTATAGGAGATAATCTGTTTAATCATTTGCAATATAAAATGGCATACATATCCACCTGCTCTTTAAAGCTGCATTTTTCTAAACCTTTCAAAAGCAAATATGAACTGAGTTTTTATGTTACAGACTGAAAGAGTGAAAAAATGCTCTCTTGTTGTTTTAGAATAAACAATTGTTTATTGATTGCTGTTGTATTACTAGACTAGAATAACAATTTTTAATATAAACTCTTTATAACATCTTTCACTTGGTAATTTTAAAGAAAATGTATTTGAAATATTGCATGCATTTACACATATTCTTTGTTTTAAAATTGTAGTTATTAGATAAAGCTAGTTATTTAAATATGTATTCCATGATAGTTTCAAACTTTGCTTGTTAAGTTGTTGTGGATATGCATTTGCCTTTTGTCAAAATAAGAATATTCTTTAGATCTATGGCAAGTAGATTTTTTGTACTTAACTAAATGAATATGCATATGTGTTATGGTAAGGGTTTTACTTTATAAATTGGGTGTGGATGTAACTTTTCTTTGGTGGATGAATTACATTGCTGAAGGTGACAATATCTTCAAATGTTTACATTATAATTTTGTTTATTCAAACATAATGTTATTTACATTTAAGCTGATTAAAACATCAACAGCTCATTGGTTATTAGTATTAACAGCAAATGACTTAACTTTTAACATAGCCTACTGTTAAATCCAGGTTGTACCAACATATTTTAAGTATGTTACAGTGTCCAATGCTGTAATGATTTTTGTATTAAAGAGAGAGAATCTGGTGTATTTTAACTGATGGTACAATGTTATAAAATCTATCTACTGCTGTTTGATCCAGTTTTCTCTCTGATTGTGTGATTACCCATATTTAGTATTACATCATTTGTGTACTAAAAACTTACCCATGTAAAATTGATCTTTTGTTCTTGTTCTAATAAAACAGTACATTAAGATCAAAACACCATTGATTGTGTTGTTTTGGCTTTGAGTTTGATCCCCCCCCCCCATATGCTTCTTTCCCCTGTTACTTGAAATGACTTCTCTCCCCTTTAAATACTGCAAAAATTGTTATACTTTAGAACTAACAAAATAGGGGTTTAGAGCTTAGTTAGTACTAGTAGCATGGCAATTCTGGTAGTAATATGTGTCTCCTTTCAGTGTTTTCATGTATTGGAGATACACATTCTGGTTGTGTCACGATATTTCAGGTGTTTGAAAAAACAGTTAAGTCGAATACTAAATGATCTGTGTTTGATTTGTATCACTTTAAAAATTTGTCTTCCACATCAAATGACTTTTTAAACTGTCTTTTCTAATATATTGCTTTCTGAGAAAAAACATACCTACATGTCCTGTTCTGAATGCTGAAAATGCATATTTAACCCTATTTACACATAAAAAACTTAGTATTTTAAGAACATTCTTTTAAAGGCAATAAAGAAATATCACAGTTCACAGCTATGATTTAGAAATTGATAAGATTCTGTCAGTAACTTTTAACATAAATAACATGTTCTTTTAAAAAAAAAACGGAATAAAAAAGAGTACTGGCAGTTATATTAACTTTAAATAAAACTTTAATGAATGATATTCATCATCATGCATTATAATTTTACATTTACATTATTAAACTAATCATCTTGAACTATTGCTAGCATAAAATCTTCATCAAGATTTCATTGTAATGTTAATTTGCTCATGTACCATTTAGGAATATATAAAATTACTGCATTTTTGTCCATCCTAGTAGAGAGAGTGACGTAAGAAGTGTTCAAATCATTTTGCTTATTCTATTACTAGTCAATTTATTAAATTAGTTTTGTGCACATATCTTAAATAATTACAAAGTTTTTCACAATTATGCAAATTGATTTCCATATCTGTTTCTTGCATGCCATTTTCTTTTCTCCTTATACAAGTCTCTGGTTGTGACATTGTCTAATGATCACCCACTTGACCTAACACATGTTTGCCTGTTACCCTGGGTACACAATAAATTACAAAACAATAAAAGCATGTGTTTATTATGTAATTTTTACGGTAAGCACAATTTCATTGTACTGTTACTTGTAACCATAACATACTGGTAACTATGGTTATACTGAAAGTTTAAGGACCTGCATAGGTCGTGACCTAATAGAGGTTTGTTTATATGCTTTTGATCCAAGTTTCAAAATGCAATCCATTAAAGATGGATTACAATTTAGGTTGGGACCAGCAGAAATGGAATACAACTTGAATCACCCAGTCTTATAACTCACACGATACACTTTAAAATCAGAAAACTATTCTTGTAATTATCGTTTTGAATGGAGGGCAAGCATCGAGTACTGTCAATGAAAAAGAAAATCAATAATTTGCACTATTTTAATATATCCTTATTTCTGATGGGGAGTTTAGACAAATCTTAATTCTGTGAAATAATAGCTTTGAAGCTTATTTCTATTATCTATGTGAAGTGTGCTCCAGAAAATATGGTTTATATCTATTTATTATTTTTGAAGGGATGGTGCCAATGTTTGTTTAATAACGCCGTATAAAGTTAAAGTAACATATTTTATATGCTATATGTACAGTGTTTCTTTCATGTATCACTCCAGGAGCACCCCCCCCCACCCAGACAAAATAGAAAAATTGCATAATGTGTATCAGCTAGGCCTATAGAAAATCTATAGGCCTCTTTAACCAGTTTGTGTTCCCCCTCCCCCTGAACATTTTAAGTGCACCTACACCCTGAAAGGCTCAAGTACCCCTCCCCCAAGAAAAATGTCTGGCAGTTGAAAGAAACGATGTTATTGTAATACTGCACACTATGACAAAAAATAACACACTAGAATATAGATCTAGAGTCTAGTCACTAGTGTATGCTCTGCATCGTTTTGGTTAGCCTAGTAAATTAATATGATAAGAAAGAAATAAGATGAATAAAAAAACTCATATTTCTAGTAGTACTAGAAATATGAGTTTTTTTACTAGACTAGTACTTACACCAGTTTAAACATATCTAAAAAAATTCTCTACCCATTTATTTGTGTTTTACTTTAAGTAATTAATATTACAAAAAAAAACAACATCGATGACATTATAATTATTAATTATATTTTCTTCCAACATTCGATGAATTAAAAATACGATACTTGCGTCATTTAAACCGGAAATATAAAAACTATAAATAGTAACGATACAGTAAACATCACTTGCCTGTGAATCACGGAAGCGCATATTAAAATAAGTAAATAAAACTCGTTTCTTAGTTTCTAAATCGACTAGTTGACTCAATCTATATCTAAACAAGTTCATTCTGCTCAGCACTGTTTAGACGTTGGACACTTATATAATATATAATTAACAGGTTTAGTAGCAATTAATTAGTTATCATATTCTCCCATTCATCATCATTCATTGAGTTGACAACACAGAGTGACAAGCACCCACCACCGGACCGTGACTACTCACTGCAACTTCTGTGTTACTATACTGTATAAGACATAAGAGCAACACCGTGTGTTGCTCTTACTACTTTAGTACTTTACTACTTAGTATTTAGTTTGAGTACTTAGTAAGTTACTAACCTAGTAACTTAGTTTTAGTAACTTACTGACTCACTGACTTTCACAGTCTGAGTCTCACAGTGTTACTGTTATTACTATTAGGCCTAATTAGTAATAATTACTATTAATTAATTAGATCTAGATCTAGTAACTAAAAGTTATAATTATAATAATAGTAATAGTAGTAGTTGGTAGGGCCTACATGCATAAATAAATATATATATAGGCCTATATTTTTTTAGTAGTAGATCTACTCTAGTAGTAGGCTGTTAGGTTCACATCTTCCGGGTTTCAGTTTGTGGACGATATTTCGAGTCGTCCCTTTGAATCCCGGACAGATCGTCCCCCCGGCGTGGCCTCAGCCAACCGGCGGGCTCGTTGCATTGAGTTAAATATAAACTCAAAACAATAATATAAACAATCTCCTTTCAGTAGGTCAGGCCACATACCAGGCACGCACAGTGTTGTGTGTCGTGCCTTAACCAAAATAAACTATCTCCCTTCATTATCATTAGATATATTTAATTAGTTAATTAATTAATTAATTTGATAATTTATAAAATTATGTATAGCATTAGGTAAGTTACAGTAAGTATCATTTTTTAAACTATGTATTTGTACTATAAAGAAACAGCTTCGTTGTTTGAATACCACCCCTTCCCCTTCTTGAACTCAAAGTTAAACTTTTAACCCCGTTCGTAGAGACATGCGGTATGTTGTAATGCGGCGGGTGGGTAGGGTATATACTCATTGAAGAAAAAATCCACCGTGGTGCGTGTTATTGGCCTTGGGCCTTCGGTGACGTTGTTGGCGTTTGCTGTGAGGGGGAGAGGGGTGTGTTATATCCGTTTAAAAAAAATCGCCACATGGTATTGGCCTATGATGACGTCGGCGCAAGCGGGGAGGGGGGGGGGGGAGACACTTTTTTTTTAAAACCAAGAACTAGGCGTTTAAAGGCTGTAATGAAAATCAAGGACTGGTTTAGCCATGATGTCGAATTTAACGAGTGATGCTTGCTGGGTCTATCATACGATTGCTTGGCGATGGGAATCTCGCCAAGCTCAGTTTATATTTACAGTGAACTATTGGGATGCTGTCATACACAAAGTAACAGCTACCGAATGTAGCACTTAAAACATCGAGTGCATCCCGCTCATTATAAATTTGAAATACAAGTTATGGATTGCCCAAAAACTTGAAGGACTATCAGAATATATGCATTGTATTATAACATTAATCATTACGATATAACTAAAATGTGTATCCAAATATTTTTAGGCTAACAGGATCTGCATTTAAATAAACAAGACCTATTAGGCTACTTTTGCATGGTAGCACAACTACATTTTTAGATTTCATAATGAGTAGCCTAGTCGTGCATTAAAGGGCTGTACTCAATAACAATGAAAAAAATGAAATGCCGGCTTCAAACTTCAAGCTATGATTTCCCCGTATTCTTCTACTAGAAATATAGCTCCCTTGTTCTAATGACCTCACCCTCCTCCTCTCACCTAGTTCAATTTAAAGTTACACTTTCAACCCCGTTAGGATGCGTGAGCTACTGATGACCTAACTATTGAAAAAAAACTATTCTGGCGTTAAATTGCCCTCCCCTACTCGCAGCACTTTGGGGCCATACACATCAGGAAGGTCTAGGTCGGTGTTGTATCTCGTGCAAATTTACTCACAACACGACTACACACTATGGTTGTATCCAGGACTAAAGCTGCGACACTCGCATAGAGTTGGATTTATTCGTTAGATCATTGTGCTTCAAATTCTGTTTCAATATTGGGATTAGATGGATATAATGTTGGAATTCAGTTAGTTTGTTATATTATATTGATCTAAATGTCGTGTACCATCAGAAACTAAATTTATTGACAAGACACATGTGTAGGCTAAAGAATGACCTCTAGATCAAGCCAAAGATGGCTGGTTAAGGTTGACAAACTGTGGTTTTCAAATTTCATGGTGATGCTTTTCTAAAGGATTTTATTTTGTGCTTTCTTTGGGATTATTTTGTGTGATGTGATTATTCAGAAGTAATTTGTAAGTAGAAGCTTTTCACATCCAACCATTTTAACAGTTTGCGATTGATCTGCGGCTAGGCTGATTAATTTACATTTAGCAAAACTACACACTACACGGCGCCCTCAGGCCGTTGTTTCAGCATGCCCTACTAGTCAATTATAGACAAGTTTAGAATCAATACATAGAGCCAACACACCGATTTTTATTTAATAATCTTCAAGAGCCATTCCTCTAGGGTCGTTATTTTCACGAAATTGTCGTTTTCCATTTTGTTGTCAAGAAACTGGTATTTAGTTCACGAGAACGTATGAAAACCACTCATGCGTGACCGAAATCGTCGATTGGGTGCCTTCACGTGGTTTGACACGTGTTGACCTAGGCCATTGTTTACATCCAAAAATCACCCAAAACGGCCTTTTTTCGAAAAATTTGTTTGAAAAAATGGCTAAGTCCAGTTTGAAAAAGTGTCATTTTCGGGCCCATTTTAAAAAACGTAAAAAAATCCGAACTACACGTAGAAAAAAATGGCTTTTTCGGCCCTTTTTAGCTCCAAAAACGCGTCGCGTGACGTCACCGTGACGTCAGCCGCCAACCAAAACGCGGAGAAAGCGCGCGTTTGATTGGTTGGCGGCTGACACTATGAAATCCTCTAAGGACGATTCGAATGGTATACCACAGAACTACAAATTTGATATAATACTTGTATATGAAATTTCATCAACCTAGCTGTACCGATACTCAAGTTATCGTGTTCACAGACACACACACACACAATTGCAAAACTATGTTTTTCTGACTCAGGGAGGTGTAAAATGTTGAGATTTGTGAAAATCTCGATTTCGATTTCTTGTACGATTACAATACTTCCTCTATACTTCATAACTGAGAAAGTAAAAAGTAACTTATTAATTAAATTTACTGTTATTCAACACTGGATATAGGCCTTTAATTAACTATAGTATTATAATTTTATCACTTTACACTATTAAATTACATCACAAGTCTGATCTGCCTTCTTAACCCGAGTTTATAAGTTTAAAATGTGTTTATTTTGAATTAGGTTTGCACAGATGTCAATAAAAGTGAGGACGGTAGAGTAAGAAACTGAAAGCTAGAATAACAAGTCAGCTTTGGAACTACTGTTTAAATAAAAACATTAAATCACATTATACTCAAGGAAAAAAAACAACAGTTTCACCATGTTCAAAAGTGGCCCGAACTACACAAAGCTAAAAACAAACTTGAGGCTGATCATCAATAGACTGAAACTTCTTGAGAAAAAAAAGACAGAAATGGCTCTTAAGGCTAGAAAAGAAATAGCAGATTATATATCAGCTGGAAAAGATGACAGAGCTAGGATCCGCGTGGAGCACATTATAAGAGAAGATTATCTTGTGGAGGCCATGGAACTTTTAGAGATGTACTGTGATTTGTTGTTAGCTAGGTTTGGCCTGATACAGACACAAAAGTAAGTGAAACATTTGTCTACAATAATGTTCAGTACATTTATCTTAAATTAAATGTTTATGTTTTTAAGCTACAAGCAAGCTTTATTGTTTTGGTTGTTTTAGTGCCAGGATAGTTATTATATTATTTATAGTTATAAGTTTAGATAGCTTATTAAAAGGTTGCATATCTAATGATTCATTTATGGTTCCATTAAATACTTTGTCTGTAGTAAAATAATTTTGATCAGTGGCGCTCTCGGCAGACTATTTTTGCTTCTCCCCTCACACATATATATTTATATAGATTTACCCTGTACTGTATATATATTTATCTAAAAAATTAACATAACAGCCCCCCCTCGACGTCACTGGATTTGAGTTGTAGAAAGAAAAGAAATGTAAGATGTTACTAAATTTAAACATTAAAATTATTGACTGTATCATTAAATATATTTGTTTTAATTTTATACTAAAGGGAACTGGATCCTGGTCTTGAGGAAGCTATAGCTAGTATAATCTGGGCTACACCCAGACTTCAGGCAGATGTTCAGGAATTGAAGGCTGTTACTGAGGAATTCGCTCGCAAATATTCACCAGAATTTGCACAGGCTTGCAGGAGTAATCAGCTTAGTAATGTTAATGAGAAGGTGAGTTGCTCTTAGAGTAAGTAAAGTAGCCTACCTTTCTAGCCTCGAGAGTCCATAGGTCAGCTGATGTTTATCTCTTTCAAATAAGCATCTAATTATTAAGTAATTGCATAGAAAAAAATGACAAGCAAACTAACCCTATCGGTTTATCAATGTTCCCTCTAAGCTGATGTGCAGTAGATGTAAACCTGCAGTGCAGTCAGTTTTGTAAAATAATTATCAGATATATCAAGTTGTTTTAGAAAAGTAAAGTAAATGTTTCCCTTTCAAACCTGACGGTCTATGGGGCAAGTGAAGTAGAGTTCACTTGTTTCTGTGACCTCGACATACGAAGAGATAGTGTAGTCAGCACTATGCCCAGCCAAGTTGTTTGAGAGAGCGCACAAAAAAAAAATGTTTTGCACACAAGCACAAATATTGCGAATACCTTAACCATTAATGTCCCATTCATTCTACCAAAACTCCACCCATGGCGGCCCGATGTAAGGAGCATAACTCTGTATGATCAAGTGAATAGTTTCACAAAATATTTGTTTTTGTCTAAATGAAATTGAAAATTAAGATAAAAACTACTGCTTAATGTTGGGAATAAACCTGGCTTTCCAACAGTATTAAATAGAATATATTTCATTCGGTAAAAGTACAGTATAAAAATAAAAAATGTCGGAGAAAATTCAAAACAGGTCATTTTCGGTAGTCAACTTTATTTATTTTTGTCTTAACAACTATGCATCGAATTTAACAGTTAAATATCAATTTGGTTATGTTTAACATATATAATTCATAAAATACATGCCTAGATACGTTTAGAGGCATTAATTTTTTTTATTTTTAATATTAAATCTACTAAAAATACGACAGATGAGTCGAAAATTTCGAGATAGAAAGAAACTATTATTTTTTATCTTTCAAAAGCGCCATTGAAATTATAACACCGGAAAAGGATGCTGAAACCATCCGACTTCCTGTTTAGTTAAAAATTAGGATTTGTAGGCCAAATTTTAATGAAACAAATTTAATTTTTCTATGCGTATTGTAAGCGGGCGGCAGCGGGCGTTACGGGACATTAACGGTGTCGGGCGGCAGCGGGCGTTACGGGACATTAATGGTTAAATTACTTTGGTTGTTACACTTGATGGTACTAACTTTCTATAATTTAACTTCAAAATGCCTATAAAAATGAATGTTAGGTATGTTAATAATTTCTAAATTTTGTAGGTGATGCACAAGCTGTCTGTTCAAGCCCCACCTAAATCTCTGGTCGAACGATACATGGTGGAAATAGCAAAGACATACAATGTCCCTTTTGAGCCTGACCCTACCGCCATGCACCACGATGAAATCTTGATGGCAGAGAACCTGCTCATAGATCTGGGTGGGGATGATAAAAAAAATATGGGTGGCCCTGGGGGACCTAGAGGGGGTATGGGAGTTCCTCAACCAGTCAGCTACCCACATCCTCAAATGGTATGTTTTTAGGCGATTTTTTAATTTTCCTTTTTAAGATTTGTCAAACCTTTTTGGTCTACTACGGTACAGATATAAAGAAAGTTTTTGTCTTGATGTTTGTAAATTAATACAATTTTGATGCAACTTAGCATTAAATTTTAAGCGAGTTATTCTTAAAATCAATGCCTTTTTAACAAAATGTAAGAAAATTTTTCTTGATTAATTGAACCCCAAGCTTTTTGTTAAACAAATATGTTTGTTGATTTGTTTGTTTATATAACAACACGTCTATTTACAACTTTCATCAGAGTTACCCAGCACCACCAGTAGCCAGTGCCCCGCCCCCTTTGCCTAACATGGCACCAGCTGGACATTTCAACTCCTACCCCATGCAGCCCCCAGCCTACAATTCTGGGGCCCACTCAGCCCCTCCTGCAGGGCCCCCTAACTTTGACTTGCTGTATGATGGCACTAAACCAACCCAGCCGCCTGCACCAACCTTTGCTTCACAACCAGTTAAAAGTAAGATTAAATTGCTTTTTTTTATTGCTTTATTTGTTTTATAAAAAAAATTCACTCACAAATATGAAAGTAATCAAAATTTGTGTTTTTAAAACACTTTTGTTGAATCTTCAGTAATTATAAGAAATAAAAGATAAACCATGTAATCAAAGGTTAACATGCAGGAAGATGGAGTTTTACTGTAGCATGTTAACGGATTGTTTATATGTCCTGTCAACCCTGTGCATCTCTGGGTTCACTCAAAAAACACAAAACTAAATGTGAACACGTTTAATAATGTGCTCTGCCACTTGACCATTCCCATTCCACACTGATGGCTGGTAGTCTAAAACTGGACCTTTCCCAGTCCATATTGGAGTATCTATAAGTGGCCCTTTCCCAGTTCATATTAATGTACGGTACTCTAAAATTGGACAACTCCCGCTCCACATTGATGTAAGCCTACTCTAAAATTAGACCATTCCCAGTCCAAATTGAAGTATCTAAAACTGGACTATCAGTACACATTGATGTCAACCTGATGTACTTAAATTGGACCATTTCCACCCAACATTAATGCCCATTACCACTAGATCAATCTCATCTTCAATAAAACTGTAAGCTCGACATTACATTTGTTTACAGAAAATGAAGACATGTTTCCAGAATTACCAACTGTACCAAATAACACCTTGCCGGATTTGGGAAATTCTGTCGGAGGAAATTCTGGAGAAGATGTGGACTTTGATGATTTAACAAGGAGGTTTGAACAGCTTAAGAAAAAGAAATGAGAAGAAACTCAAATTATTTTGATGTTTGTGTATGATATACTAATTATAGGACAAACCATAAAAATTGAAGAAAAGACAAAATTTTTCTTTTTCAATAGAAATTTGCAGAAATTTTAGCACTAAGTGCAAATCTGTAAGAAGTCTGAATTCATAAATTTAAAAAATTTGATTTTAATATACCCCTCATCTAAATATTTTCTGTTCTGCTTAAACAATCAAATTAATATGCAAATGATTATATATAGATGTATAATTTTGTTGTGGTTTGTATAAAAATAGGGTTTTGTATATATTTCAATAAATAAATCTTTGCCCATGAATTCTATTGAATTTTTATTAAAGTTGGCTGTAGCATCACAGTAAGTCTTAAATATCTATATAAGAGCCATGTTTTTAAATAAAATGTTTATGAAAAGCACTTGAAAACCACTCCTTTTAATAGGTACTTAATTTTCTGTACTTAATGTTAGATGGTGTTATAAGGTATCAACTGGATTTATTAAACAGAATCAGAAAAACTTTTGATTCAAATCATTGCAAATAAATATTCACTATTGCCTAGAAAGTTTTGTTTAAAATAACTTCATTTTCATGTTTATGGTATTTCTAATTTTTTAAAAATTTAGTGAAATATGTTTTTAACAAATGGAGTCATTTAAATGATGAAAAAAAAAACCACTCAGAGATATTTGATTTTTTAATAGAGCCTTTAATTTAATTAATTGTTATTTAGCCATTTAACCATAGGTTAATAAAAGCATTTACACAAAGCAATGGAGTAAAAGTGAGACAAAATACACTAACATTAATTGTAGTTCTTTTTATCACATGTTGGTGATAACAGGTGGGGAAAAAAGTATACAACTAGATGTCATGTTTCTATAGATTACAATATAAGAGTGATTACTACCATTTATTCCTCTAAGAACTATGGTAGTAACACAGTTATTGAAGAAGTTAAAACTCATTTGATTATTTAATTACCAACATGAACTGACATATTTTAAATGCAATAATTTAACACAATCTGCTGAATAAAAATCAATTTGTCACAATCAACAACACAGTGAATAATTTGTTATTCAAATATTATGCTTTTACAGTAGATTTGTTTCCCTAGATAACAATAACCAAGTGATTATATGTACAATAGATATGTTTATAAGAGAATGTTTGAGAAAATGTCAACAATTAACAAGATAAAATTTAAGAACCAGATCTTCTATGGTACCACCCTTAGGCTTCAAGCTTGGCCAGTGCATCTTCCAGTAAAGACAGATCTCCTGTTTTAGAAAAAAGATAATTCATTTAATTTTCAATTTTTTAAATAAAAAAAAAAAACAGAATGTGACTTAAAAACTCTAATTAAAAGGTTAGGAAATAAAAAGAAAAATGTCCTCACCTCTGATATCTTTTGTTAGGTTGATGATTTGCTGTTTGTTATTGATGACTTCAACACTTTGTGTGTAGGGGTTGAAGCGGACACTGAATGGTCTAGGAATGGTCGCAGCAAATTGTCTGCAGAAAAATCATAGAATGGAGTTAAATAATTTTTAAAAAAAACCCACGACAAGTTGATATGAAATTTTCTCTATGCTAATTATTAAGTATTTTCCTGCTGAAATATTAAATAACCATCTTACTTGAGCTTTGTTTTAGCAGTGTCAAAACTCTCAGCAACAAAATAAATTGGCTGGAAGCATGTTATTGGATACTCCTGCTCACAAGTTTTCTGTGGGTCAAAGGGCATGACCTGTGGCTTGTCACTCAGGCAGTACTAAGGATTAGAAGGAAGAAAATGAAAAAAAAAACAAAACAAACCCATTGTTTATTTGAGTGCAGTTTTTGTTTACACTTTTTTCTTAAAAAAATAATTTGAATATTTTAGTTCAGATTCACGATCTAAGTGTTGGCAATGTTAAATTTGTTATATTTTAAACTTTGAAAAACTGATTTACTGTTTACATTTTTTTCACCGGTTAATCTAACAATTATACAACTGCTAAATATCATATTTAAAACAATGCATGTCCAACTTCCCCAGTAAAACTAACAGCTCTGCCTACAATGTACCTCTAACTCTCCAAATGAGGATAACAGACCAGCACCATAAGCTTTCAGATGTCCTTCTTGTCGACACAGGCCAAATTCTACAGTAAACCAGTACAGCTGCAAATTTAAAAAGTTTAACATAAATTCCAAGAGAACAATTGATTCTTATTTTGATATTTTGTTACGTAAGCTGTCGTAAAGACGTACAGTAGCCAATTTTTTGATGTAGTCATCTGGTGCCCCAAGACTTGCAAGTCCAATTTCCTGGGAGAACTGAGCAAATGATGGATCAGCCAGTAGGGGAACATGGCCCAAGACCTCATGGCAAACATCACTGTCAAATTAAATTTTTAAAAATTTGTAAGTGATAAAATATAATTATTGAAACAAAAAATTACAATAAAAGTTGGAAACTGCAACTATTAGTAAAACATTTTTCACTTACGGTTCAGGGGTATACATTGGTTTAGACCCATGGCGAATGTACTGGGTTGAATGAAAAACTCTGAATGCAAGCCCAGCAAGGAAGTCTCGAGAGGATAACAGCCCAGCCACAGGGCGTAAAGTGAATCCAGTGCAATCTAAATTTAAACATTTTTTTGTTTAAAATGTAAACATCAAACTTGTTGTTTTAGAATGGTTAGAAAACACAATTCAAAAGCAAATTCTGTTGACCTTTTTCTGACTAATATTGATTCCTAAAACAAAAGAGTGATCAGAGATGTTCACCTTTCAAGAAATCTGAGATGTCCTGTAACTGCGGAATGTTATCCTCCCTGAAGCCACAGTTGTCTATCAGCAGAGGGAACACATAGTTGAACTCACGGCAAGCATGTGTGGGGTACAGCTTGACCAGCTCTTTGAATATTGTCCCCCTGTCATCACCAGAGAGAACACCATCAATGATGTGATAACAGAAGAATTTGCCAGTTAAAAATACTGAATATAGGCCAACAAATTAAAATTTTATTGTTTTCACAGGAATTGTTAAGTTGCAAATGAAGCACAGATGAAATACTGTTGGTTTATTTTTAATATTTGATACAGTTCACCAGAGAAATTCTACTCCCAGTGCTAGTTATAAATTTTAAATAAAATTTGACACAATAATAGACTTTGAAAATACATTTGATATTTTAAACTAAACAAAAAGATTTTGTATTAGTGTGTTGTTTATTGCTCAACAATAATAACTGATTCATTAGATAATACACAAGTCAATTCATTTTGAAATATCCGGCTATTCAAAATAATTGGCCAGTTAATTTAGTCTAACATACAAATTAATTGACCTGTTGATGATGTTTGAAATATCCTACCACAAATTTAGAAATATTACAAAATTAATGTAGATAGCACAGGCATGTAACTATGATGTAAAGAACTTACCAAGTCTTGATTTCTGCGTTTGTGTATTCAACTCTGGGGATTTGTTGACCACTGAATCAAAGACAAATAAAATAATTAGAAGACAGAAAAGGTGGACCTGGAACATTTGATCTAAATAAAGGTGGTGGTCAAGCTAACAAGTCAGAGGGCCACATATGGTGTAAATAAAGAAATAGAAACAAACAGGTTTGGAGGATTGTTAGGATCAGCTTGTTATGGTACATATTTTTAAAAGTTAAATGCTAGTTTTGTAAAAGAAGTAAAAAAAGAAATAGCTTTTACAAAATCAAGAAATAACATCTAAGCGTGGAAAAGGGTAATTCTCATGTATAAATCTATCTATTATAGGCCATTAGCCCCAGTTTTATGATTGGTGCATACACTTACTTTGAAACCCTGCAGACATTTAAACTTACTATTTATAATGGAAAGCAATATCAGCAAACTCCTTTCTCCTCTCTCTGTAGACTGGGTCTGTGAATCCCTTGATACAAAAAATTTAAATAATAACACAAAAAGTTCTTTTAAAGTTCATGTTTTGGCATCTTTAAGACAACTTAAATGTGATTGTGTTTTAAGTAAAAGATTTATTCTGTAAAACAGTGATTACCAAATTTGTATCCCCTTATGTTTTTGCTTAAAAAGCGAAATTTTTTAATGAGAATGAGTTATTTGTATAAAAAAAATGAAAGTACCGGATGATCAGCGTCCAGTTCAGATCCATAGCTAAGAATCTGGTTGGCAAATCTGTCTAGGTCCTTGATTCTGCGAGGAAACCACGGAACTGTAAAAACACAGGGTACTTGAGTCGCTTGCAGTTTATAAATGAGCAAAAAACTTCAAATTCCATGCATAAAAAAATCTTTTAATAATAGATGAAAGAGTTAACTAAGTTATTTAAAAATGGACATCATCACTTACAAAATATATAAAATTATGAATCATACACTGTAGCTAAGATTAGAGATATTCACTTTAATTATAAGCATTCATCAGTGGCCCACTGTTTTAATTCAGATTTATATGAAGCATATGTTTTAAAGCAACTTCAACTAGGTAGTATAAGTTGTAGTAAAATTTAAATACTAAAAAGTAAATATAGATGTAATTTAACATTATAAATAAGCAGTTAATATCAAGTTAGATCAGCATAGTGTGCAATGGAGATGTGTCGGATTTGCAAAGGGAAGTGAACAGACATTCAACTTTAAACATTAATTTAGATTTTTGTATTTTATGTTTAAGAATTCAGATAATATATTTTATTTTATTTGTCCATAATTACTTTAAAGTTCAAAGCAAAAAAGATGAAGTAATTAAATTTTCTTGAATGTTTAAAAAATATTTTGATGAAAAACAACTTGTAATTGTAGGTCCTATTGTTTATGTTTTGGGCCAAGGTTTAGAATGTAGGGTCGGTGATCAAAAGGCAGGAATGGAGCAAAATATATGGGGTTGTTCATAAATGACCTAATGCTGTTTTGGTGACATTATTATTCCTCTCTCCCCAAGAGCCCCCTAAAATTACACCACTCTTCAATAAATCAATATCCCTCCCCCACCATTGTTTATTTGTATTGAAATAGGAATTCACCACCTCAGAAATGTGACGTCATTTAATTAAGGACAATACATGTTTAAAATAGTTTAAATATTTCAATTTAAATAAAACTTTCAAAACATCTTTGTTTGATTCTTTATTTATTATTATTATTCCTTTAGAAAGCCACCAAATCAAATATCTACACCCCCCCCATGTATTTTCTTGAACAGAATAGACATATTTTTAACATTATTTCTGTTATATTGTTGAAATAAGCAATTTCACAAAGCATTTATTACTTTGGCTACGTTACAATTTTAATAAAAAGAAAATCATTACTCTACTACATAATTAGCGCGTTAAACCTAGATAGACGTGGCAATGGCAGGTAAAACGAAAAAAATCTGGTTAATTATAAGTTAATATTTTATAAAACCACACAGAAAAATGAAATTCTACCACGTAACGTAGCAGACGATGTTATTATGTTGTACAAACAAATGATATGCACAATATAACAGCTTTTTAAAATGTTGCATTGATGTACATAAGCATACCTTTAGTTTCTGTCGAGTCTGTTTGGAAACACGTGAATGTTTTACTTAAAATCTTTATTTAAATTGATAAGCTGTTGGACAAACAGGCAAGGAATATGTGTACTGGGTGACTACGGTTCTCCTAACTACCAATAGTTTAAAAAGTTTTTGTGCGTTCTTATTTTAAATAAGATGATATTTTTTTTTACTAGTGATAATCTTCTTCTATTCGCTTGATAGTCACATCTTTATTTATAATAGCGTGTTAATCTGATTCAGAACACTGTTGTTACAAGTTTACAATACAGAAACACGCTTGTTAAATGCTGGTGAAATTTAGATATTATATGAAACATTTTAACACGCTGAATATTGATTTAATAGGTGAGACACTGAAACGCGAACGCCTCTACCTATATCGATACCTATAGGCCTATTTATTATCTATTGTCTGTTGAAGCGGAGTCGAAGGTAAAAGACTGATGGCAGAGATCTGCCCGCTGGCTATCCAGGTAATTATACAGACGGCTAACGTTTTTATTTTATTTTAGAAGTGGAAGACAAGGTTTACCAAACCATTCATATTGTTTAAAGCCTAGGTGTAACCAAAAGTAGAATTACAATTTTCCCAGACAGGTGTAAAGAACCGTAACGTTTTAGAAGGCAAGTGTTACAGAATGTAAATTGATGACTTGGACTCACCTTCGTCAGACTCTCCGTTCTCAACCTTCCTGGACAAAATTGTTAACTTGTTGGCGGACTTCCTCAGATGGTCGATAGCCTCCTACATTGAGAGGGAAGAGAGTGAGGGAGGGAGGGATAGGTGTGAAGGGGTGTGGGTGAGAGAGTAGCCTCCTACATTGAGAGGGTAGAGAGTGAGAGAGGGATAGGTGTGAAGGGGTGTGGGTGAGAGAGTAGCCTCCTACATTGAGAGGGTAGAGAGTGAGGGAGGGATAGGTGTGAGGGTGTGGGTGAGAGAGTAGCCTCCTACATTGAGAGGGAAGAGAGTGAGGGAGGGATAGGTGTGAGGGTGTGGGTGAGAGAGTAGCCTCCTACATTGAGAGGGAAGAGAGTGAGGGAGGGATAGGTGTGAGGGTGTGGGTGAGAGAGTAGCCTCCTACATTGAGAGGGAAGGGAGTGAGGGAGGGATAGGTGTGAGGGTGTGGGTGAGAGAGTAGCCTCCTACATTGAGAGGGAAGGGAGTGAGAGGGAGGAAGGGATAGGTGTGAGGGTGTGGGTGAGAGAGTAGCCTCCTACATTGAGAAGGAAGGGAGTGAGGGAGGGATAGGTGTGAGGGTGTGGGTGAGAGAGTAGCCTCCTACATTGAGAGGGAAGGGAGTGAGAGGGAGGAAGGGATAGGTGTGAGGGTGTGGGTGAGAGAGTAGCCTCCTACATTGAGAAGGAAGGGAGTGAGGGAGGGATAGGTGTGAGGGTGTGGGTGAGAGAGTAGCCTCCTACATTGAGAGGGAAGGGAGTGAGAGGGAGGAAGGGATAGGTGTGAGGGTGTGGGTGAGAGAGTAGCCTCCTACATTGAGAGAGAAGAGAGTGAGGGAGGGATAGGTGTGAGGGTGTGGGTGAGAGAGTAGCCTCCTACATTGAGAGAGAAGAGAGTGAGGGAGGGATAGGTGTGAGGGTGTGGGTGAGAGAGTAGCCTCCTACATTGAGAGGGAAGGGAGTGAGGGAGGGATAGGTGTGAGGGTGTGGGTGAGAGAGTAGCCTCCTACATTGAGAGGGAAGAGAGTGAGGGAGGGATAGGTGTGAGGGTGTGGGTGAGAGAGTAGCCTCCTACATTGAGAGGGAAGAGAGTGAGGGAGGGATAGGTGTGAGGGTGTGGGTGAGAGAGTAGCCTCCTACATTGAGAGGGAAGAGAGTGAGGGAGGGATAGGTGTGAGGGTGTGGGTGAGAGAGTAGCCTCCTACATTGAGAGAGAAGAGAGTGAGGGAGGGATAGGTGTGAGGGTGTGGGTGAGAGAGTAGCCTCCTACATTGAGAGAGAAGAGAGTGAGGGAGGGATAGGTGTGAGGGTGTGGGTGAGAGAGTAGCCTCCTACATTGAGAGAGAAGAGAGTGAGGGAGGGATAGGTGTGAGGGTGTGGGTGAGAGAGTAGCCTCCTACATTGAGAGGGAAGAGAGTGAGGGAGGGATAGGTGTGAGGGTGTGGGTGAGAGAGTAGCCTCCTACATTGAGAGGGAAGAGAGTGAGGGAGGGATAGGTGTGAGGGTGTGGGTGAGAGAGTAGCCTCGTACATTGAGAGGGAAGGGAGTGAGAGGGAGGAAGGGATAGGTGTGAGGGTGTGGGTGAGAGAGTAGCCTCCTACATTGAGAGGGAAGGGAGTGAGGGAGGGATAGGTGTGAGGGTGTGGGTGAGAGAGTAGCCTCCTACATTGAGAGGGAAGGGAGTGAGGGAGGGATAGGTGTGAGGGTGTGGGTGAGAGAGTAGCCTCCTACATTGAGAGGGAAGGGAGTGAGAGGGAGGAAGGGATAGGTGTGAGGGTGTGGGTGAGAGAGTAGCCTCCTACATTGAGAGGGTAGAGAGTGAGGGAGGGATAGGTGTGAGGGTGTGGGTGAGAGAGTAGCCTCCTACATTGAGAGAGAAGAGAGTTAGGGAGGGATAGGTGTGAGGGTGTGGGTGAGAGAGTAGCCTCCTACATTGAGAGGGAAGGGAGTGAGGGAGGGATAGGTGTGAGGGTGTGGGTGAGAGAGTAGCCTCCTACATTGAGAGGGAAGAGAGTGAGGGAGGGATAGGTGTGAGGGTGTGGGTGAGAGAGTAGCCTCCTACATTGAGAGGGAAGGGAGTGAGGGAGGGATAGGTGTGAGGGTGTGGGTGAGAGAGTAGCCTCCTACATTGAGAGGGAAGAGAGTGAGGGAGGGATAGGTGTGAGGGTGTGGGTGAGAGAGTAGCCTCCTACATTGAGAGGGAAGAGAGTGAGGGAGGGATAGGTGTGAGGGTGTGGGTGAGAGAGTAGCCTCCTACATTGAGAGGGAAGAGAGTGAGGGAGGGATAGGTGTGAGGGTGTGGGTGAGAGAGTAGCCTCCTACATTGAGAGGGAAGAGAGTGAGGGAGGGATAGGTGTGAGGGTGTGGGTGAGAGAGTAGCCTCCTACATTGAGAAGGAAGGGAGTGAGGGAGGGATAGGTGTGAGGGTGTGGGTGAGAGAGTAGCCTCCTACATTGAGAGGGAAGGGAGTGAGAGGGAGGAAGGGATAGGTGTGAGGGTGTGGGTGAGAGAGTAGCCTCCTACATTGAGAGGGAAGGGAGTGAGAGGGAGGAAGGGATAGGTGTGAGGGTGTGGGTGAGAGAGTAGCCTCCTACATTGAGAGGGAAGGGAGTGAGAGGGAGGAAGGGATAGGTGTGAGGGTGTGGGTGAGAGAGTAGCCTCCTACATTGAGAGGGAAGGGAGTGAGAGTGAGGGAGGGATAGGTGTGAGGGTGTGGGTGAGAGAGTAGCCTCCTACATTGAGAGGGAAGGGAGTGAGAGTGAGGGAGGGATAGGTGTGAGGGTGTGGGTGAGAGAGTAGCCTCCTACATTGAGAGGGAAGAGAGTGAGGGAGGGATAGGCGTGAGGGTGTGGGTGAGAGAGTAGCCTCCTACATTGAGAGGGAAGAGAGTGAGGGAGGGATAGGTGTGAAGGTGTGGGTGAGAGAGTAGCCTCCTACATTGAGAGGGAAGGGAGTGAGAGTGAGGGAGGGATAGGTGTGAGGGTGTGGGTGAGAGAGTAGCCTCCTACATTGAGAGGGAAGGGAGTGAGAGGGAGGAAGGGATAGGTGTGAGGGTGTGGGTGAGAGAGTAGCCTCCTACATTGAGAGGGAAGAGAGTGAGGGAGGGATAGGTGTGAGGGTGTGGGTGAGAGAGTAGCCTCCTACATTGAGAGGGAAGGGAGTGAGAGGGAGGAAGGGATAGGTGTGAGGGTGTGGGTGAGAGAGTAGCCTCCTACATTGAGAGGGAAGGGAGTGAGAGGGAGGAAGGGATAGGTGTGAGGGTGTGGGTGAGAGAGTAGCCTCCTACATTGAGAGGGAAGAGAGTGAGGGAGGGATAGGTGTGAGGGTGTGGGTGAGAGAGTAGCCTCCTACATTGAGAGGGAAGGGAGTGAGAGGGAGGAAGGGATAGGTGTGAGGGTGTGGGTGAGAGAGTAGCCTCCTACATTGAGAGGGAAGGGAGTGAGAGGGAGGAAGGGATAGGTGTGAGGGTGTGGGTGAGAGAGTAGCCTCCTACATTGAGAGGGAAGAGAGTGAGGGAGGGATAGGTGTGAGGGTGTGGGTGAGAGAGTAGCCTCCTACATTGAGAGGGAAGGGAGTGAGAGGGAGGAAGGGATAGGTGTGAGGGTGTGGGTGAGAGAGTAGCCTCCTACATTGAGAGGGAAGAGAGTGAGGGAGGGATAGGTGTGAGGGTGTGGGTGAGAGAGTAGCCTCCTACATTGAGAGGGAAGGGAGTGAGAGGGAGGAAGGGATAGGTGTGAGGGTGTGGGTGAGAGAGTAGCCTCCTACATTGAGAGGGAAGGGAGTGAGAGGGAGGAAGGGATAGGTGTGAGGGTGTGGGTGAGAGAGTAGCCTCCTACATTGAGAGGGAAGAGAGTGAGGGAGGGATAGGTGTGAGGGTGTGGGTGAGAGAGTAGCCTCCTACATTGAGAGGGAAGGGAGTGAGAGGGAGGAAGGGATAGGTGTGAGGGTGTGGGTGAGAGAGTAGCCTCCTACATTGAGAGGGAAGGGAGTGAGAGGGAGGAAGGGATAGGTGTGAGGGTGTGGGTGAGAGAGTAGCCTCCTACATTGAGAGGGAAGAGAGTGAGGGAGGGATAGGTGTGAGGGTGTGGGTGAGAGAGTAGCCTCCTACATTGAGAGGGAAGGGAGTGAGAGGGAGGAAGGGATAGGTGTGAGGGTGTGGGTGAGAGAGTAGCCTCCTACATTGAGAGGGAAGAGAGTGAGGGAGGGATAGGTGTGAAGGTGTGGGTGAGAGAGTAGCCTCCTACATTGAGAGGGAAGGGAGTGAGAGGGAGGAAGGGATAGGTGTGAGGGTGTGGGTGAGAGAGTAGCCTCCTACATTGAGAGGGAAGGGAGTGAGAGGGAGGAAGGGATAGGTGTGAGGGTGTGGGTGAGAGAGTAGCCTCCTACATTGAGAGGGAAGGGAGTGAGAGGGAGGAAGGGATAGGTGTGAGGGTGTGGGTGAGAGAGTAGCCTCCTACATTGAGAGAGAAGAGAGTGAGGGAGGGATAGGTGTGAGGGTGTGGGTGAGAGAGTAGCCTCCTACATTGAGGGAGAAGAGAGTGAGGGAGGGATAGGTGTGAGGGTGTGGGTGAGAGAGTAGCCTCCTACATTGAGAGGGAAGGGAGTGAGAGGGAGGAAGGGATAGGTGTGAGGGTGTGGGTGAGAGAGTAGCCTCCTACATTGAGAGGGAAGAGAGTGAGGGAGGGATAGGTGTGAGGGTGTGGATGAGAGAGTAGCCTCCTACATTGAGAGAGAAGAGAGTGAGGGAGGGATAGGTGTGAGGGTGTGGGTGAGAGAGTAGCCTCCTACATTGAGAGGGAAGGGAGTGAGAGGGAGGAAGGGATAGGTGTGAGGGTGTGGGTGAGAGAGTAGCCTCCTACATTGAGAGGGAAGAGAGTGAGGGAGGGATAGGTGTGAGGGTGTGGGTGAGAGAGTAGCCTCCTACATTGAGAGGGAAGGGAGTGAGAGGGAGGAAGGGATAGGTGTGAGGGTGTGGGTGAGAGAGTAGCCTCCTACATTGAGAGGGAAGAGAGTGAGGGAGGGATAGGTGTGAGGGTGTGGGTGAGAGAGTAGCCTCCTACATTGAGAGGGAAGGGAGTGAGAGGGAGGAAGGGATAGGTGTGAGGGTGTGGGTGAGAGAGTAGCCTCCTACATTGAGAGGGAAGAGAGTGAGGGAGGGATAGGTGTGAGGGTGTGGGTGAGAGAGTAGCCTCCTACATTGAGAGGGAAGGGAGTGAGGGAGGGATAGGTGTGAGGGTGTGGGTGAGAGAGTAGCCTCCTACATTGAGAGGGAAGAGAGTGAGGGAGGGATAGGTGTGAGGGTGTGGGTGAGAGAGTAGCCTCCTACATTGAGAGGGAAGAGAGTGAGGGAGGGATAGGTGTGAGGGTGTGGGTGAGAGAGTAGCCTCCTACATTGAGAGGGAAGGGAGTGAGAGGGAGGAAGGGATAGGTGTGAGGGTGTGGGTGAGAGAGTAGCCTCCTACATTGAGAGGGAAGGGAGTGAGAGGGAGGAAGGGATAGGTGTGAGGGTGTGGGTGAGAGAGTAGCCTCCTACATTGAGAGGGAAGAGAGTGAGGGAGGGATAGGTGTGAGGGTGTGGGTGAGAGAGTAGCCTCCTACATTGAGAGGGAAGAGAGTGAGGGAGGGATAGGTGTGAGGGTGTGGGTGAGAGAGTAGCCTCCTATATTGAGAGGGAAGGGAGTGAGAGGGAGGGATAGGTGTGAAGGTGTGGGTGAGAGAGTAGCCTCCTACATTGAGAAGGAAGGGAGTGAGAGTGAGGAAGGGATAGGTGTGAGGGTGTGGGTGAGAGAGTAGCCTCCTACATTGAGAGGGAAGAGAGTGAGGGAGGGATAGGTGTGAGGGTGTGGGTGAGAGAGTAGCCTCCTACATTGAGAGGGAAGGGAGTGAGAGGGAGGAAGGGATAGGTGTGAGGGTGTGGGTGAGAGAGTAGCCTCCTACATTGAGAGGGAAGAGAGTGAGGGAGGGATAGGTGTGAGGGTGTGGGTGAGAGAGTAGCCTCCTACATTGAGAGGGAAGGGAGTGAGAGGGAGGAAGGGATAGGTGTGAGGGTGTGGGTGAGAGAGTAGCCTCCTACATTGAGAGGGAAGGGAGTGAGAGGGAGGAAGGGATAGGTGTGAGGGTGTGGGTGAGAGAGTAGCCTCCTACATTGAGAGGGAAGAGAGTGAGGGAGGGATAGGTGTGAGGGTGTGGGTGAGAGAGTAGCCTCCTACATTGAGAGGGAAGAGAGTGAGAGGGAGGAAGGGATAGGTGTGAGGGTGTGGGTGAGAGAGTAGCCTCCTAGAGGGAAGGGAGTGAGAGGGAGGAAGGGATAGGTGTGAGGGTGTGGGTGAGAGAGTAGCCTCCTACATTGAGAGGGAAGAGAGTGAGGGAGGGATAGGTGTGAAGGTGTGGGTGAGAGAGTAGCCTCCTACATTGAGAGGGAAGGGAGTGAGGGAGGGATAGGTGTGAGGGTGTGGGTGAGAGAGTAGCCTCCTACATTGAGAGGGAAGAGAGTGAGGGAGGGATAGGTGTGAAGGTGTGGGTGAGAGAGTAGCCTCCTACATTGAGAGGGAAGGGAGTGAGAGGGAGGAAGGGATAGGTGTGAGGGTGTGGGTGAGAGAGTAGCCTCCTACATTGAGAGGGAAGAGAGTGAGGGAGGGATAGGTGTGAGGGTGTGGGTGAGAGAGTAGCCTCCTACATTGAGAGGGAAGAGAGTGAGGAAGGGATAGGTGTGAGGGTGTGGGTGAGAGAGTAGCCTCCTACATTGAGAGGGAAGGGAGTGAGAGGGAGGAAGGGATAGGTGTGAGGGTGTGGGTGAGAGAGTAGCCTCCTACATTGAGAGGGAAGAGAGTGAGGGAGGGATAGGTGTGAAGGTGTGGGTGAGAGAGTAGCCTCCTACATTGAGAGGGAAGGGAGTGAGAGGGAGGAAGGGATAGGTGTGAGGGTGTGGGTGAGAGAGTAGCCTCCTACATTGAGAGGGAAGAGAGTGAGGGAGGGATAGGTGTGAGGGTGTGGGTGAGAGAGTAGCCTCCTACATTGAGAGGGAAGAGAGTGAGGAAGGGATAGGTGTGAGGGTGTGGGTGAGAGAGTAGCCTCCTACATTGAGAGGGAAGAGAGTGAGGGAGGGATAGGTGTGAGGGTGTGGGTGAGAGAGTAGCCTCCTACATTGAGAGGGAAGAGAGTGAGGGAGGGATAGGTGTGAGGGTGTGGGTGAGAGAGTAGCCTCCTACATTGAGAGAGAAGAGAGTGAGGGAGGGATAGGTGTGAGGGTGTGGGTGAGAGAGTAGCCTCCTACATTGAGAGGGAAGAGAGTGAGGGAGGGATAGGTGTGAGGGTGTGGGTGAGAGAGTAGCCTCCTACATTGAGAGGGAAGGGAGTGAGGGAGGGATAGGTGTGAGGGTGTGGGTGAGAGAGTAGCCTCCTACATTGAGAGGGAAGAGAGTGAGGGAGGGATAGGTGTGAGGGTGTGGGTGAGAGAGTAGCCTCCTACATTGAGAGAGAAGAGAGTGAGGGAGGGATAGGTGTGAGGGTGTGGGTGAGAGAGTAGCCTCCTACATTGAGAGGGAAGAGAGTGAGGGAGGGATAGGTGTGAGGGTGTGGGTGAGAGAGTAGCCTCCTACATTGAGAGGGAAGAGAGTGAAGGAGGGAGGGATAGGTGTGAGGGTGTGGGTGAGAGAGTAGCCTCCTACATTGAGAGGGAAGAGAGTGAGGGAGGGATAGGTGTGAAGGTGTGGGTGAGAGAGTAGCCTCCTACATTGAGAGGGAAGGGAGTGAGAGGGAGGAAGGGATAGGTGTGAGGGTGTGGGTGAGAGAGTAGCCTCCTACATTGAGAGGGAAGAGAGTGAGGGAGGGATAGGTGTGAGGGTGTGGGTGAGAGAGTAGCCTCCTACATTGAGAGGGAAGAGAGTGAAGGAGGGAGGGATAGGTGTGAGGGTGTGGGTGAGAGAGTAGCCTCCTACATTGAGAGGGAAGAGAGTGAAGGAGGGAGGGATAGGTGTGAGGGTGTGGGTGAGAGAGTAGCCTCCTAGAGGGAAGGGAGTGAGGGAGGGATAGGTGTGAAGGGGTGTGGGTGAGAGAGTAGCCTCCTACATTGAGAAGGAAGGGAGTGAGGGAGGGATAGGTGTGAGGGTGTGGGTGAGAGAGTAGCCTCCTACATTGAGAGGGAAGAGAGTGAGGGAGGGATAGGTGTGAGGGTGTGGGTGAGAGAGTAGCCTCCTACATTGAGAGGGAAGAGAGTGAGAGGGAGGAAGGGATAGGTGTGAGGGTGTGGGTGAGAGAGTAGCCTCCTACATTGAGAAGGAAGGGAGTGAGGGAGGGATAGGTGTGAGGGTGTGGGTGAGAGAGTAGCCTCCTACATTGAGAGGGAAGAGAGTGAGGGAGGGATAGGTGTGAGGGTGTGGGTGAGAGAGTAGCCTCCTACATTGAGAGGGAAGAGAGTGAGAGGGAGGAAGGGATAGGTGTGAGGGTGTGGGTGAGAGAGTAGCCTCCTACATTGAGAGGGAAGAGAGTGAGGGAGGGATAGGTGTGAGGGTGTGGGTGAGAGAGTAGCCTCCTACATTGAGAAGGAAGGGAGTGAGGGAGGGATAGGTGTGAGGGTGTGGGTGAGAGAGTAGCCTCCTACATTGAGAAGGAAGGGAGTGAGGGAGGGATAGGTGTGAGGGTGTGGGTGAGAGAGTAGCCTAAACGTACGCCATTGTCTGCGTAAGCTATTTAGTTTGGACCAGAGCTTGCATTGTTTCATGCTTTACTATCGTATATCCAGTTACTAACCATCAGTTTATACAGCTGTTGTATATTACAATCACTACGGGGTAACTGCTTCAGTGGCGTAGGGAGAATTTTGTTCAGTGTTTCTTTCAGACATTTTTCTCCGGGGGTAAATTTCCGGGGTAGTGGCAGTTATTTTTTTTATTTCATCGGGGGGGAGAGGGGGGGGGAAGGGGGGGGAGGAGGGGGGGGGGTAGCGCCTCCTCGAATAGATGCCTGAAAGAAACTGTGATTTTGTTATGGAGGGCACTGATCTGCAATAATTTGGTGAAGTAATCAGCTAGATCTTTGGTTGGCGGCCCATGCCCCAGCAGGGGTGACGGGGAGAGACGTTGTTGATGATGATCAGCTGGTTACAAACACTGCTATGTCAAAAATATTTTCAGGGTGTATAAAAGACAGATAATAAGAAAGACAGCAATGTTATAACAGGGACCGTGGTCTGTACAAAAGACAGAGTAATTAGAAAGACAGCAATGTTGTAACAATGTTATAACAGGGACCGTGGTCTGTATAAAAGACAGAGTAATTAGAAAGACAGCAATGTTATAACAGGGACCGTGGTCTGTATAAAAGACAGAGTAATTAGAAAGACAGCAATGTTATAACAGGGACCGTGGTCTGTATAAAAGACAGAGTAATTAGAAAGAAAGCAATGTTATAACAGGGACCGTGGTCTGTATAAAAGACAGAGTAATTAGAAAGACAGCAATGTTGTAACAATGTTATAACAGGGACCGTGGTCTGTATAAAAGACAGAGTAATTAGAAAGACAGCAATGTTATAGCAATGTTATAACAGGGACCGTGGTCTGTATAAAAGACAGAGTAATTAGAAAGACAGCAAGGTTATTACAGATAACGTCGCCTCACCTTCAAACCTCCTGTCTGGTTGTCGCAAGCCACAAAAAACTCGAAACTCTTGGGGTCACCACGTGACGGCCTTGACTCGATGTGGTGAAGGTTGACCCCGTGTTCCTGTGTGCGTTAAGTGAGACAGATACGTGTAAACACACAATGATATAGTGAGACACAGTTTGTAAGTAACGATATCTTTTAGCTGCTGAAGTAAAGGCAAATAATCTTTGGGAGTGGGGGAGGGGAAGGAACTGAGACGACGACTACTTAACATGATTTTAGCACGAAAATCTGGCTGGCATTGCAGACAGTACTTCAAATCTGGGCACATACAAACTACATACTACATTATTACTTTAAACATAACAATACCTCAAACACCTTTAGGGCAGCGGCCAGAACTCCGATTTTCTCTGGTAGAGAAAAGATAATGCTAGTGCTCCCTTCTTTATCTTCATAGTCTTTTTTGTAGTTTTGTGGGTCACCGTGAATGTCGCCATTCTAAGAAATTAAAAAAAAATTGTCAAAAAATTAAATAAAAAAATAAATAAATACGTGTTTTAATTTATCATCTCACGAACACAAGCAAACACCTTGAAACTACACTTTATTAATATTGTAGTGTAGAGACAGTCTGCAGTTCTCAGTCCCATGTGGTTACCTCAGGAAAACGACTCCTGTATCGTCTTTTACCGAAAAGTTCGGACAAAGGAATTGCGTTCTGGTTTGCAGAAACTTTTTGGTACAAATTCCCATCCATCGTTGAAAACAAATAAATTATTTAATCAACACGTTTTTCACCAAATTGAAAAGAAAGGTTTGAAACAAATTTTATGAAAAACTGATGTAGAAAATATTCCAAGTTTAAAGTTTGAATTTCCGAAGCAATGACGTGTAGCTGCACCAATCATAGAGCAACCGTCCCCAGAATTCATGGAAACAATTCACGATCAGATTTTAATGAGGCTAAAATAATCGTCAAGTTACTATCACCAACAGACTATTCAGCAGCTTGCGGGGAGAATTGAGTTACCAACTGAACCCATCAACACAAGACTTAACACTACGCCCAAGTGTGAAGCAGCTTATATTTAAGGCTTACCCCAATCGGATTTTCGCGATAATCACTTATACGCTACAAGTGTCTCTACCCCCCCCCCCCCCAAATCAAATCTACCACTGTAAACGCATTCTTTGAACTACAGTAATATGTGATTTTTCCAGGCAAACAAAATTAGAAAAAAAAATATCCGCTATTATACGTAACGTATGTCACATCTATTATTATATTTAATTATTATGAAAAGAAAAATAGAAGCATTTTTTTTAGCCCACATGTGTTAAGTTACTATCGCATTAAGTATTTTACATACGTTTTTATGTAACCTAAAATAAAAACCCAACGAAAGACTAACCCACGGGTAACGAAAAATGAGAAGGTTAGCAGTACCCAGTTCGCAATGAACCATTACCTCCACGCTTATATTCATTTACAGGTGATTTCATCATCGGTAAAGTTCTTTTTTTTTTTCAATTTACCTACGGCTATTTTTACCAAGTCCGGTGTAGATTAGGGTCAAAGGATGGGGGGGGGGGCTTTAAAACAGGTTCTTGGGGCGTGTGACACAGTGTTTCATCATCATGTGTCAGCCAATGTTTTTGTTTACAGTGGCTGATTCGTTTTGATTAGAAGTTGTTTCATTTATGGGATGGACGTGGCTTTTAAATTAACTGATCAGCTAACCAAATTAGCATGTCGGTTTGTATTATAAGCCTGTTTTTACACTATCGGGTATACGAGAGGTGGGAGAATACTAAGTCACTGTTCATTCGCAGAGTTGGTCACTGTAGGGTTGGTCACTGTAAGGTTGGTCACTGTAGGGTTGGTACTGTAGGGTTGGTCACTGTAGGGTTGGTCACTTGGTCACTGTAGGGTTGTTCACTGTAGGGTTGGCCAGTGTAGGGTTGGTCACTGTAGGGTTGGTCACTGTAGGGTTGGTCACTGTAGGGTTGGTCACTGTAGGGTTGGTCACTAGGGTTGGTCAGTGTAGGGTTGGCCAGTGTAGGGTTGGTCACTGTAGGGTTGTTCACTGTAGGGTTGGCCAGTGTAGGGTTGGTCACTGTAAGGTTGGTCACTGTAGGGTTGGTCACTGTAGGGTTGGCCAGTGTAGGGTTGGTCACTGTAAGGTTGGTCACTGTAGGGTTGGTCACTGTAGGGTTGGCCAGTGTAGGGTTGGTCACTGTAAGGTTGGTCACTGTAGGGTTGGTCACTGTAGGGTTGGTCACTGTAGGGTTGGTCACTAGGGTTGGTCACTGTAGGGTTGGTCACTGTAGGGTTGGTATCTGTAGGGTTGTTCACTGTAGGGTTGGTCACTGTAGGGTTGGTCACTGTAGGGTTGGTCACTGTAGGGTTGGTCACTGTAGGGTTGGTCACTTGGTCACTGTAAGGTTGGTCACTGTAGGGTTGGTCACTGTAGGGATGGCCAGTGTAGGGTTGGCCAGCGTAGGGTTGGTGACTGTAGGGTTGGTGACTGTAGGGTTGGTACTGTAGGGTTGGTCACTGTAGGGTTGGTCACTTGGTCACTGTAGGGTTGTTCACTGTAGGGTTGGCCAGTGTAGGGTTGGCCAGTGTAGGGTTGGTCACTGTAAGGTTGGTCACTGTAGGGTTGGTCACTGTAGGGTTGGCCAGTGTAGGGTTGGTCACTGTAGGGTTGGCCAGTGTAGGGTTGGTCACTGTAAGGTTGGTCACTGTAGGGTTGGTCACTGTAGGGTTGGCCAGTGTAGGGTTGGTCACTGTAGGGTTGGTCACTTGGTCACTGTAGGGTTGGTACTGTAGGGTTGGTCACTGTAGGGTTGGTTACTGTAGGGTTGGTCACTGTAGGGTTGGTCACTTGGTCACTGTAGGGTTGGTACTGTAGGGTTGGTCACTGTAGGGTAGCCACTGTAGGGTTGGTCACTTGGTCACTGTAGGGTTGGCCACTGTAGGGTTGGCCAGTGTAGGGTTGGCCAGTGTAGGGTTGGTACTGTAGGGTTGGTACTGTAGGGTTGGTCACTGTAAGGTTGGTCACTGTAAGGTTGGTCACTGTAGGGTTGGTCACTGTAGGGTTGGTCACTGTAGGGTTGGTCACTGTAAGGTTGGTCACTGTAAGGTTGGTCACTGTAAGGTTGGTCACTGTAGGGTTGGTCACTGTAGGGTTGGTCACTGTAGGGTTGGCCAGTGTAGGGTTGGTCACTGTAGGGTTGGCCAGTGTAGGGTTGGTCACTTGGTCACTGTAGGGTTGGTCACTGTAGGGTTGGCCAGTGTAGGGTTGGTCACTGTAGGGTTTGTCACTGTAGGGTTGGTCACTTGGTTACTGTAGGGTTGGTCACTGTAGGGTTGGACACTGTAGGGTTGGACACTGTAGGGTTGGTCACTGTAGTTTTGACCGCTTTTTGCGGTATCGATACGGTATTTTCTTAACGTCTATTCGGTGACGTCACAAAGCCTGTTAAGAGACGCAGGATTCTTTGTTCGAATGTATAGATTTTGTATACATTTCTCTATTATCTGTTTATAGCTGATTCCTTTTCTTGAAACCTGGCTATGTCCCAGAAAGACAATATCTAACCATGTCTTGTCAGCTACTAAAATAACTGTTGTCGTTACGTCACAACAGCTGTGAAAACCTACATGTGAAAGACAATCGTTAACTGTAGATCTAGTACTTCGATACGATTTAACTGGAAAATAAAGTTGGAACCCTTACGTTCTTTTTATGATTCCTAGAAATTTATTTAATACCTCTCATAAAAATTGCACGCAGAAATAGGCTATATCGAATCTTATAATCAATCAATAGCCTATATCAGTCGTCTAATGCTTATGTCATAACTAAAAAAAAATAATAACAGTATGCCAATTCTTATCAAGCAGTTTTTAACATTAATATTTTGTAGGTTCATGAATTAGTATTCAAAATTCAAGGTACTATTTAGAATAAAATGTAGGGAATTTACCTTTTTTTTTAAAAAAAAAAAAAGGCATTCGTTATGTTGTTTAGATCCGGATAGAGGGGAGACAATCTAACTAATAAAATATCGATTTTTCATGAGTTTGGAAAAACGGAGGCCCCTATATGAGCAGTAATCAGCAGTTATGTTTCTTAAATAAAACAACAACAACAACAAACGCCACAGGTGAAGAATGAGGTTGTCTTTGTTATTGTGCACCCCTTTCACGATTTTGTATTCGATAAACCCCCTCTATCTTTAAGAAAATGGTTTTCCCACTATGCGGCGGCCAATGAAACAAAACCATGTAATCAAGGCCATGTGAACAAATGGCGGCCATGTTTTGTGATCACGTGACTGATTGTATGTAAACACCAGCTGTCAGTTCACGTGATGTAACGAAGCGATTAGATCAGTTGGACACGTAAACTGTTTGGGTACTCTAAACAGCTGGCAACCACTAGTAGATACATCCAACAGCCACGTGTATAAACTGTTTACAGCCACACTTATAGCTAACAGCCACACTTATACCTAACAGCCATACTTATAGCTAACAGCCATACTAATAGGGCTGGTAAGTAGGTCACCAACAAGTTCTACGGCTGAATAAAACCTACATGAGCCATATAACTTGTTGGTGACCTACTTACCAGCCCTATAGCTAACAGTCACACCATAGCTAACAGCCATACTTTAAAAGTCACACCTTTAGCCAACAACCATGCTCATAGCTAGCAGCCATACTTATAGCTAAAATGCATAATTATAGCTAACGGTCATACTTTTAGCTAACGGTCATAATTTCAGCTAAAAGCCACAATTGTCGCTAACCATAGCTTCCACACTTACAGGTAACAGCCACACGTACACATAGCTTACAACCAGCATATGGCCAGTTAACATGCACATAAACAGCCGATACTAAATGTCAACAAAATAGTATGATATAAGCTATGAGAAGTATGATACTAAATGTCAACGAATTTAATGATACTAAATGTCAACGAATTTAATAATACTAAATGTCAACGAATTTAATGATACTAAATGTCAACGAATTTAATGATACTAAATGTCAACGAATATAATATTACTAAATGTCAACGAATATAATGATACTAAATGTCAACGAATATAATGATACTAAATGTCAACGAATCTAATGAAACTAAATGTCAACGAATATAGTGATACTAAATGTGATAAAAGCATGCTGTGATAACAATACCATATGGTAATAAGATAAAAGCGTGATGCAGCAAATTTGACAAAGCAACAAAACACGAACTGTTGATAAGGAATTAAAAAAAACCTTTTAGAATACTTATCAAGGTCATGACGATAGGCAATGATGGTGCAAAAATAGAATGGTTGCATTCACTTTTAAACAGTGGCAAAGTGGGCAGACAGATGTTAAGTCGGTCAGAGTGGAAAACAAAATTCTGGGCAGATATGCATGGTCAGAAAGATACTGGGCAGATATGCATGGTCAGAATGATACTGGGCTGATATGCATGATCAGAAATGTACTGGGCAGATATGCATAGTCAGAAAGGTCATTTCCATCTTTTCCCTTCTTTACCCAAGGTATATGGGTCTGAAAGATACTGGACAGATATGCATGGTCAGAAAGATACTGGACAGATATGCATGGTCAGAAAGATACGAAGCAGATATGCATGGTAAGAAAGATACGAAACAGATATGCCATGGTCAGAAAGATGTATTTATAACCAGCAAATAGGGATCGCAATGAAGTAAGTGAAATGTTTACAAGCTAACACTACATGCTGGCGTGTGCTACAATATGCATCTAGTGAGTGACATGAACCATGACCATTTAATTAGACCGTAGCTGCAACAGTTGCAGGAAATACATTAAGGTCAGGCGTGTACACACGTACAGGTGAACATTAAGGTCAGGCATGTACACACGTACAGGTGAACATTAAGGTCAGCGTGTACACACGTACAGGTGAACATTAAGGTCAGGCGTGTACACACGTACAGGTGAACATTAAGGTCAGGCGTGTACACACGTACAGGTGAACATTAAGGTCAGGCGTGTACACACGTA